ACTTTTATCATGATTTTTTTTTCTCAAATCTATACGACCAATATCTCATGAGATATGGTCGCTCACTACCCTTAACTGATCACCCTGTACATGTAGCAGGTCAAAGAGTTAGAAACATAAAAAATAGAACTATAAATAAAATAAAGTTAAAAGACAAACAATATAAAGATATTGATATAGATAAAAAATACAGAATAGAAAAAAATGAAATACAGGTACATATTGATACCAAATCCCAACCCTTCAACGTTTCCATCGACTCAGCAAGTCATTCACAAAATCTACTCACAATATCCCGATCATAACACCACAAATCATTTCTACCCCAGTAAACTTACGTAGAAAACGTCTATAGTCTATTAGATTTATTTTATATATCTTGAAATGATCATGTATAAATTTGTGAATAGGCTGAAAGACTTCGGTCGATAGCCTTTTGGGTAATTCCCCAATAAAGATTTTTTTCTCTCCCTGATACCAAATTCATCCATATTGATACTCAAGCCAGTAATTCCTCATGATCAGCTTGGAAATTGGCTGATTCTATAGAAACGGCTGAATTATTTCACTGGGATAGGTGCAGAGCACAAATACTCGAAAATAGAGTGATGTAAAAAATTCAATATATTCAATCAATAATTGAATACTCACCTGAATGAACAATTTCTGAGTCAAATTTTAAAATGAATAATTCTGAATGTTTATACAGGGTGTAATTCAATTGATGACTGAAAAGATATATACCGGGTGTCCCAGTATACCTGTTCCAATGGATTATCTCAGTCATTTCGAAAGTAACAAATTTGAAAATTTCATGATCTCTAATTCGTTCAAGGAACCTTCAACTGAGAAAAACGAAAATTGAAAGTCACTTCCGGTTTGACCGGAAGTGACTCTAACTTATTTATTTCAAATAGCACCCTGTATATTTTTTGCAATTTTTGCTTTCTACTCAAAATTGCCTTTCCAACGATGCATCACACTTTGCATTTTACATTTGATATGATGAAGAAAACGACAAATTGAAATTTGGAATTAAAATCAGTATCATATCCAATTTCTCTTGAATTGTGAAGTTATCATATCATTTTCACGGTTATTCATTCTTGAATGTCGCACACAACCCTCGACACAATCATTGAGAATTATTAACAACTGTCGAAGATACAAAAAATGTATTCAAATGTTTCCATGGCACACTAAGGTTTTCATTTAAGAATTATTAATTCTTCCAGTTCTACTACATATTCCTATAATAATTTGAATTTTGACGATCTCTTTATCATCTGGAATGCAAAATTGTTCATGAATCATCAATTATTGAGGAACAAATCATTATGTACACAAAATATCATAGTCTACTGCAATTTCAAATTTCAATTTTCGTTTTCTCTATCAAATCAATTGTAAAATGCAAAGTGTGATACATCGTTGGAAAGGTAATTTTGAGTAGAAAGCAAAAATTGCAAAAAATATACAGGGTGCTATTTGAAATGAAGAAGTTAGAGTCACTTCCGGTCAAACCGGAAGTGACTTTCAATTTTCGTTTTTCTCAGTTGAAGGTTCCTGGAACGAATTGGAGATCATGAAATTTTCAAATTTGTTACTCTCGAAATGATTGAGATAATCCATTGGAACAGGTATACTGGGATACCCGGTATATTTCTACCAGTATCATCCATAAGGAATATATAATGGAGATTTTACAAGAAAAATATGGTATGCCTTTGCTTTTTCCAAAATTGAAATAATTTTTTCAATACTCATTTATGTTGTAACAATTTGGCCCTCAGAATTGTTTTTTGTTAAATGCACTGTTTTTGCTAAATAAAAATCATTTTGACCAATTCAATCAATTGACTTTACTTGAATAAAAATTAATTGAGAACATATCTTACCTAAAAACTACCACATGGTGCTTAGTATGTCAAATTTCATGAAAATTTCAACACCCTATATTTTGAAAGTTAAGAGGTTTAGGGCATATGAACATATTTTTTTAAAAAAGCTGTGGAATCATAAACTATTTTTTTTTCATAAATTAAATTACACCCTGTAGTGACACTAGTGACTAATGAATATGGAAGTACTAGTTAAAATGAAGAAAAGTACATAATATACAATTTGCACTTAGTCAAAATCATTCATCAAGTCACTGGATTTTTCTCCTAATTTAAATGATTGAATTGATGCATAATAAACTGCTTGGAAAAATGAGGTCATATAGGGAACTAGCTTTGATAAATAGTTCCTTTGAAGTATTTTTCATTGGAAATTTATAGAGGTACACTGTTCACTATGAAAATGTGCTTTTTTTCAATGCAGACTCTACTCTTCAGCTACCTACTGAATCTATCCATCTCTTGAGATTTTTTTTTCACTTTAGTTGAAATTATTGAGAATCAACCCAACAAATGGTACATAGTTAAAAAAAATTTGGTTTGATTATATAACATAGCCAACTTTGATCCCTATTCAAATGCAACTTTAGGTCATAGCTTGTCACCACTGGATACATACAAAACACCCTCAAGAATGTAGAAGTCATTTTCTCCTAATTTCACAAACAACTAGGATATTCACATCTGGGTGTGTATAATTTGCGGACTGGAATAAAATGTTATTTCCATCAAACTTTTCGATGTTTTAATTGCATATCTGAATTCAGCTCACCAATATACAGGATGAGAAGTTTCAGTTTTTTTTTCTATGACCCCCCTGGGGAGCTCTTTACTCTTGTGTTTTTTCATAAAATCTTGCGGACTGGGTATTTAAGAGTCAAATCATCTCAATGTCACCATAAATCGATTTATCCCATCAAAATACACCATGAAGAGTTTTTGAATTTTTTCCCTAGCCCCCCTGGGGAGCACTTTACTCCTGTGTTTTTTCATAAAATCTTGCGGACTGGGTATTCTTGAGGGTCAAATCATCTGAATTTCACCATAAATCGATTTATCCCATGAAAATACACAATGAAAAGTTTTTGAATTTTTTCCTAGCCCCCTGGGGACCACTTTACTCGTGTGTTTTTTCATAAAATCTTGCGGACTGGGTATTTTTGAGGGTTAAATCATCCCAATTTTTAAATCGATTCATCTCATGGAAATACATGATGAAAAGTTTTTGAATTTTTTCCCTAGCCCCCCTGGGGAGCACTTTACTCCTGTGTTTTTTCATAAAATCTTGCGGACTGGGTATTTTTAAGGGTCAAATCATCTCAATTTCACCATAAATCTATTTATATCATGAAAATACACTATGAAAAGTGTTTGAATTTTTTCTATGACTCCCCTGGGGAGTACTTTACTCTTGTTTTTTCATATAATCTTGCGGACTGAGTATTTTTGAGAGTAAAATCATCTGAATTTCACCATAAATCGATTTATCCCATGAAAATACACAATGAAAAGTTGTTGAAGTTTTTCCTAGCCCCCTGGGGACCACTTTACTCATGTGTTTTTTCATAAAATCTTGCGGACTGGGTATTTTTGAGGGTCAAATCATCTCAATTTTACCATAAATCGATTTATGTCATGGAAATACTCGATGAAAAGTTTTTGAATTTTTTCTATGACTTCTCTGGGGAGTACTTTACTCCGTGTGTTTTTTCATAAAATCTTGCGGACTGGGTAGTTTTGAGAGTCATATCATCTCAATTTCACCATAGATCGATTATTCTCATGAAAATACAGGATGAAAAGTTTTTGAATTTTTTCTATTACCCCCCTGGGGAGCACTATACTTATGTGTTTTTTCATAAAATCTTGCGGACTGGGTATTTTTGAGAGTCAAATCATCTCAATTTCACCATAAATCGATTATTCTCATGAAAATACATGATGAAAAGTTTTAGAATTTTTTCCCCAGCCCCCCGGGGAGCACTTTACTCGTGTGTTTTTTCATAAAATCTTGCGAACTGGGTATTCTTGAGGGTCAAATCATCTCAATTTTACCATAAATCGATTCATCTCATGAAAATACATGATGAAAAGTTTTTGAATTTTTTCTCTAGCCCCCCTGGGGAGCACTTTACTCGTGTGTTTTCTCATAAAATCTTGCGGTCTGGGTATTTTTGAGAGTCAAATCATCTCAATTTCACCATAAATCGATTTATCTCATGAAAATACACGAAAAGTTTTTGAATTTTATCCCCAGCCCCCCTGTGGAGCACTTCACTCGTGTGTTTTTTCATTGAATCTTGCGGGCTGGGGAAAAAATTCAAAAACTTTTCGTGTATTTTCATGAGATAAATCGATTTATGGTGAAATTGAGATGATTTGACCCTCAAAAATACCCAGTCTGCAAGATTTTATGAAAAAACACACGAGTAAAGTGCTCCCCAGGGGGGCTAGGGCAAAATTTCAAAAACTATTCATTGTGTATTTTGATGGGATATATCGATTTATGGTGACATTGAGATGATTTGACTCTCAAAAATACCCAGTCCGCAAGATTTTATGAAAAAACACAAGAGTAAAGTGCTCCCCAGGGGGGTCATAGAAAAAAAACTGAAACTTCTCATGGTGTATATCTGTGAGCTGAATTCAGATATGCAATTAAAACATAAAGTTAGATGGAAATAGCCAGACAGCAACATTTTATTCCAGTCCGCAAATTATACACACCCTTCACATCTATCTAGGAATTGAAAAATCAAAGTTTTCTTCATTTTTGTTTCTCCCAGTTTCTTTTTTTCAAAAAATGTGGATAAGGATTTTACCTTTTTTATCCCCCATACTAACTGACTTAATTGTATAGCAAAAACATGAGAACTTATGTGGAAGAAATGAGGAAATGGAAGGAAAGAATGCTTAATGCAAAAAGGAAATTGATGGATGGAATGAGAAGTGAATGAAACTAAAAGGGAAATTATTTAAATGGCCTCAGAAATGGAGTAAGATCAATCTCAACCCAAAATAAAATAAAGGAGAAAATGAATGAAAGTGAATTTGTCTAAATAGTTTCAGATTATTCAATCCCACTACTAATCTAATTACCTCTGAAGCATGTTGCAACAAGTCAATACCATTTTCATGCTTCACAAAATCAGAAACATTCAGTTTGTGGTGAAGGGTGTAGTCATTTTCAGGATATCCTTCAGCTTTCACCTTCTTCTTCTTCTCAGGATGAAACACATTTAGTTTATTTTTTGGTTCAATTTCCAACTCTTGGAATACATACTTAGCATCCATAAATTTGGGATCTATTTTATCTGGAGCTATATAGTACTGACAAACTACAAATATTTCAGCAGATTCAGTACGAGAGGCTTGTGGTTTGGTTGCATGAACCTTTTTGAACAACTGTTTCAGGACCCAAATGAGGGCATGGTAATCTTTTGACCTGAAAACTTTGGTAACAAACCACCCTCCTTGCCTCAGGAATTGTGTTGCCAATTTCAAAGAACTGAGAGTCAGGCAGGCTTGCTGATAGGCATCATGCAGCCAATTCTTTCCAACATTTGGAGCACCATCATGAAGCACAACATCAGCTTTCCAAGTTTTCAATTCTCTTGATATAGCTACTCTACATTTTTCTGTTGTGATATCTTCAGTCAAGCTGATACATCCAGTTATGGGTTTTATTGGGAACAGATCTATGCCTATGACAATGCTTGAAACAGGCATGTTTTGCTTTGCCACTTGCATCCAACCACCTGGAGCAGCACACAAGTCGATACATACTTGTGATTTTTGTAGAAACTCGAATTTTCGGTTCAGCTGAATCAATTTGAATGCCGCTCGAGATCTAAAACCTGAATTAATTATATTATAGCCCATATAGACATCACAGCTGGATTAGTATATGAATTTTATAAACTTGATACTGATTGAGAACTGAATTATAAATAAGTACCTGTTTCTTTAGCTAATTGATAATATTTATCTTTTCGCTGTTTTCCGATTTTCTTTTTCTGACCCATTTCTATTTATGGCATGAAATTATTTAAATTCAAAACCAAAAGCACATTCGGATTTCGGAATCTAGTGAGGTTAAGATTTTCTGACTTCTCTTCTGAGAGTTCTGAGTCTTCTGTTCTTTTTTTCTCTTCTTCTTCTGACTTTTGTGTATCACTTCTTTTGCCAAAATTCACCAGCACTTTCGCCGAACAATCACAATGATTGTTAATTTATGACTACCGGTAATTTCTCCTTCTAATCAATGATGGAAGTAAGATATTATTATTGTGCGCGTATTCGGCCATTATTACGTATTGAAAATTTCAGAAAAATGCCAGTGGAAGTAATATACAGATTTGATTCGACCGCCATTTAGAATCGAGTCCATACTGGAAGTCATGGTTATATGAATTCTTGCCCTCTGTATTTCCGTCAACCAATCAGGAAGAACTACGACACTTTCTTTCTAGAGAAATCGAGAGGTTGACGTGTACCCGAGATTCTAGCCTTGATTCTAGCCTGCTTCTTTAAGGAGTCACCGAACTTGATTGAAAAATGAAACACCAGTGTCGGCGAAATTATATTTTTCGCAAGTAATAAAGCAATGACGCGTATTCGCCAAAGTATTGGCACTTTTTAACGAATCAGAACCAACGCTTCTAGCGATGGCGATACGACTCTTCCTGGAAAATGTGGAAGGCTTTCTTAATGACATTACATGACATATAGGCCCTTTAAACACGCTGTTAGAAATGGGTTTTTCTGAATAGCTTTCCAGTGTATAATTATATATATAAATGAAAATTTTCATATATTTTCACATATTTCAGCTTTCTCCAAGGTTTTCTCAGTTAACATTGAACTAAAAAAATGTATTATTAATTACTGCTTATCAATAAACTGATTTCGACTATTTAGAGTAAGATAATTATAAACAATGAATGAGAACCTCGGGCTCAACGTATTTTGACATTATAATTGTCTAACATGAATCGACCTTCTTCAAAGAATTTTTGTGAAAATCTAATCGTTTGTGAAGTTTTTTTCACGTTTATTTTTAATTCAAGCCTTGCCCGTAATATTCCCCGGTACTGGGAGTTTTACGTCGTTCGCTTCGGTGCACTGTTGCCAACTCAGTAGATTTTCCAGTTAAACTGGTCGTTTTGACCCTCTCTATGTTAGTGACGAAATATTGATTAGAGTGGCTGGTGGATTTTTTATTAGATAGTTTTCAGGTAGGAATAACATGGTAGGAATATTATTCATATATACTGGATCTGGATGTCAACGAATTCATAAGACAAGCCCATGGTTTCCAGAGTTCCAGAGGAATGTAATTCAAATTTGGCAGGTGTTAGGATTAGAGAATTGGAAAATCTTGCAATATTTCATGCTGGACCACCTAGCCATCTGAAGGAGAGCCCATGATGATGGTTTTTTGAGAATATTTTCAAATCCTTCTGTGATAAAATAACCAAATTTTGCATGTACCAAACTTTTTATGACAAATTTGAAAATGTCAAAAATCGGTCGAAATTTTCATCAGGGGCGTAGGAAAAAGGTGAACCTACTCTTGTTTAGTTTCGATAACACGACATTTTCGAGATAAATCGAGTTCAAAAGTCTGCTGCGTAATAAAATGTAGTACCTTTTTTCATAGGGTTCCTACTTTAAGAACCATATTATTTTTCAGTTTATTTTTTTTTATTGAACCCCTCATATTTTTAGATCGAACACCAAGAGTTGGATTTGCATTCTCCTTCATATAAAGATATGCATATATAATATCATTCTGAATACTCAACTATACTTTCCTGGCTATTTGCCACGTTGAACATTGAATTATGTATCTATTGAATATCCAAAACGAGAGCATGAAAAATGAAAATCATCTCAAATTGAGAATTGACATTATCTCTCGAATCGAATACAATAATATGATGTATTATGACATAAAAATGTAACTCACCAATATGTTCAGTATATTGAAATGAAAATTTAAATGTATAGGAGAAGTATATACTTATACTAGTATGAACTTTGATCTTGATCGATGAGCTTGGAACTTCCGAAAAAATCATTCGTATCAGTGATATGGGAATTTACGAAGGCGCTGAAGGGCCACCTATACTATTTTTTTTTGAATCCCGACTTCAAAGTCGGGGGTCCGAGATTAAAGTCGGGGGTCCGACTTTAAAGTCGGGGGTCCGAGATTAAAGTCGGGAGTCCGACTTTGAAGTCGGGGGTCCGAGATTAAAGTCGGGGTCCGAGATTAAAGTCGGGGTCCGAGATTAAAGTCGGGGGTCCGACTTTAAAGTCGGGGGTCCGACTTTAAAGTCGGGGGTCCGAGATTAAGTCGGGAGTCTGACTTTAAAGTCGGGGGTCCGAGATTAAAGTCGGGGGTCCGAGATTAAAGTCGGGGGTCCGACTTTAAAGTCGGGGGTCCGAGATTAAAGACGGGAGTCCGACTTCAAAGTCGGGGGTCCGAGATTAAAGTCGGGGCTCCGAGATTAAAGTCGGGGATCCGACTTTAAAGTTGGGGGTCCGAGATTAAAGTCGGGGGTCCGACTTTAAAGTCGGGGGTCCGAGATTAAAGTCGGGGGTCCGACTTTAAAGTCGGGGGTCCGAGATTAAAGTCGGGGGTCCGACTTTACTCTCGAAAATTCCGAGAAAATGATTGAATGAGCAAAATACGTCATCACTTTTGTTTAATTCGAATATCCTTAATATCGACAAAATATCAATATAACATATACAGGGTGATCCACGGTGGATATGGCCTATTAGAAGTATCTGGAGAACGAAAAGACAGAACATTCTGAAAATTGGGATCCTTTGATAATTGAACATTCTCTATCCGTTTGAAATATGTTCATCGATACAGTGTTGCCATTTCTATTAGAAACAACCAGCAACTTTGTTATTTCTAATGAAATACCCTGTATTTCATTGCATTTTCAGATTCAATGTCAAAAATACAGGGTGCTTCAAGATTCAGAATTCTGGTCACCATGTATCTGTTCCAATTAAATGTCAGTAGACAGTGAATCGAAAGTTAAGATAGGGACATGTGAACCGTTTTGATCGATAATGAATAGTTTCGACACAAAAAAATCTTAACATCGAAGAATCCTGATTTTGAACACCCTATATCTCTGTAATCATTTCTGCTAGAACCCAAGTGTGATACATTGATGAAATCAGCTGTTCAGGAAAAATCTGAAAATGTAATAAAATACAGGGTGTTCCATTTGAAATAACAAAGTTGCTAACTGTTTCTGATAGAAGTGGCAATAACACTGTCTCTATGAAAGTATTTTAGGCGAATAGAGAATGTTCATTTATCGGAGCATCCCAATTTTCAGAATGTTCTGTCTTTTAGTTCTCTAGATACTTCTAATATGCCATCCACCGTGAATCACCCTGTATAATTAGTTAATTCATAATGAAAACTGCGCATTGAAAACTTGATTCTCAACGTTTTCATAAGGCTTTGAAATTTGGCTATTTATTGAAGAAGATTATGAAAATAGTCCGGAAGGGTTAACTCATACCTACAAAAAATGTAATCATATATCATTGAACTCATCTTTCTGAGCTCTACCCAAGGACGGAATGACATTCAGGGTAGTCATTTGTGAAAATATATGTTTTGTATTGTAATCTTTTTGCACCCTTTGAACAAACAAATGAGATTCTCAGCTATTAAGTGGAATATAAACAATCACCCTATACGTACGATAATGATCGTACAGGTGTGATCCATTATTTGACATTCAGTGTACATCCAAAAAGGAGGATTTTGACTGATCCTTATATGATGATTATCCAATGGATGTAAAATTATTGTTTGTACATAAATGTACAGAGCGAGGTACAGAGTGTTTCTCGAGTACATGTAGAAAATTCAGGAGCATGTTGCTGACGTCAAACTGATGAGTAACAATGGAAATTATTTATTTCTGTCCATATATTTAACGAATATAATCTAGCTCCTAACTTCAGTTCCGAAATCCCGACTTTAATCTCGGACCCCCGACTTTAATCTCGGACCCCCGACTTTAAAGTCGGACCCCCGACTTCAATCTCGGACCCCCGACTTTAAAGTCGGACCCCCGACTTTAATCTCGGACCCCCGACTTTAATCTCGGACCCCCGACTTTAAAGTCGGACCCCGCCCGACTTTAAAGTCGGGATTCAAAAAAAAAAAGTATAGGTGGCCCTTCAGCGCCTTCGTAATAGTATATATGACTTAACTCGAGTAAAACTCATTTCATACATACATTCAAAAATTGATGATACCTCTTTATTGACTTGTCTACTAATTCCTACTAATGATTATATGTTGCTTTTTTACTGATTTTTTATATTGTATTACCTACGACGTCATGAAGGGAACTTAAATAATAAATATATTGATATATTAATAAAGTAGAAGAGCAGTTTCGAAGTTTTCGAACTTACGAGTTGAATCTGGTAGACAGCTGATTTAATCATTGGCAAGTTGGCAACACTGGTATGAATGGTTTGGGGTACGGTAGCTCCTGATGTTAGCAGGCTAGACTCGAATGACGTGTACTTTACAAATATCAAATAATATTCTTATCTTTCAAAACCTGTCGATATTTGAGATTGTGATTGTGAGTTGTGAGTTGAATTCAGTGATAAAAATAGCAAATAGGTGATCATATTGTTCACATATTGTAGTGAAGTTGTTAATATAAAATAATATCACGACTGTTTAATTAGACAGGGAAAAAGTTGAAAATCGAGTGTAAATAATATCATTATGGCAGCTGCATCCGTGCAGACATTTCTAAATTCCTTCAATAACAAAATGTGAGTAGAAAATTCGTCATCTGATTTTTCCTGTGATCTAATGAAGCGTTTCTTCTTTATCTAGTGAACCACCAGTCAGACAACATCTCAAAAATGTTTACGCTTGTCTGGCAATGTCCACAATGGCTGCCGCTATTGGGGCATCAGTCCATCTTTTCACAAACATACTCCAAGCAGGATTCCTATCTGGCATAGGGGCTCTGGTATGCTTCTTCCTTCTGATGAGCACACCAGACAACAATGGAAAGGAAATGACAAAGAGGGTTGGGTATCTTTTGGGCTTCAGCTTCCTCACTGGAGTAGGAATGGGCCCCCTTCTGGAGCACGTCATCCTAGTTAATCCCAGCATCATAGTTACAGCATTCTTTGGAACATCTGCTGTTTTCGTATGCTTCTCTGTTTGCGCCATGCTGTCAGAAAGAGGAAAATGGCTTTACCTTGGAGGAACTCTGATGACTATGCTCTCTGCTTTGATGGTTCTTTCTCTAGCCAATCTGTTCTTTGGCGCTGTTTGGATTTACCAAACCCAATTGTACTTGGGGCTGCTTGCTATGTGTGGATTTGTTCTATTTGACACTCAAGCCATCATTGAGAAACGCAGAATGGGAAACAGAGATTTTGTTGCACACTCCTTGGATCTGTTTGTTGATTTCATTGGGATCTTCAGGAGGCTGCTGATCATTTTGACACAGAAGGTAATTGACAATAGGTATATATCCCATTTTCCTATTCCTTATTTATTTTTCCTTTCCTTAATTGCTCTCCTGATCACCTATTTCTAGACCATTATTGAATTGACTTAAGCTATCAGTGAATTAGTAAGTGTATTTTGCTAAGTCACAATTCTGTGTTGCTAAGTCAGAATTATGAGTTACTAAGTCAGAATTCTAACATGAAAACAGTATTGTGGCTTGTAACCAGTGATCTAATTTGTAATTACTCAGAATTCTGTCTGACCTACTCATAATTCCAACTTAGTATCTCAGAATTCTGACTTAGCAACATACACTTACTACTTTGCTGATAATTGACATTTATCACATCCAGTATTACATGATTTTGAAATGTCAGTGAGACTTCTGACATATAACTCTGATTTCTGGCTTGTATCTCAGAATGATTACCTAGTATTCTAGTAATTAAAAATTCTGAATAATTCTAGTGAATTTGACATTCATCACAGCAAATATCACAGGATTCTAATGTGTGAGTCAAAGAGGTGTAAGTCATAATGCTGGGCTTTAAGGCAGAATTATGAGATGCATCAGAATTCTGTGATACAAATAGTTATGAGATCTGACTGCAAGATTACTATGCTCATGGAGTATTCATTGAAAATCAAATCAATCAAAGAGGTTGTGGCCAAGTGCACATTGGAAACTATCACTTTTGAAGTTCTTCATAAACATAGCTGTAAGGTGCAATATATTTCATTTAAATAACAAATGAATGTAATTTTTTGTAAAAAATTGAATTTTATTATTTTAATCAAAAATAATTGCGGCCACATGGAAAACGGTACATTGGATTATCCTGAAAATTTGGTTACTCTAATAAGCGTTTGTGATCTAACGATTCAAAATATTTTCAGTCATGCAGCGTTGCCACTTTTACCAAAAAGTAGCATCATCTTTGTTACTTCGAATGGAACACCCTGTATTTCATTGCGTTTTTAGATTCTTCTCGAAGAGCTGATTTCATCAATGTATCAATCACACTTGGAGTCTAGCAGGAATTATTACAGAGATATAGGGTGTTCAAAAATGAGATTTTTCAATTTCAGGAATTTTTTGTGTTGAAACTATTCATTATCGATCAAAACGGCTTACATGTCCTTATCTTAACTTTTGATTCACTATCTACTGATATTTAATTGGAACAGATACAGGGTGATCTTGGACCATCCTGTATTTTTTCCAATTAAATGTCGGTAGATAGTTAATCAAAAGTTAATATAGGGACATGTAAGCCGTTTTGACCAACGATGAATAGTTTCCACACAAAAAAATCCTAAAGTTGAGAAATCTCGATTTTGAACACCCTATATCTCTGTAATAATTCCTGCTAGACCCCAAGTGTGATACATTGATGAAGTCAGCTCTTCGAGAATAATCAAAAAACGCAATAAAATACAGGGTGTTCCATTTGAAATAACAAAGTTGATGCTACTTTTTGGTAAAAGTGGCAACACTGCTTCGCTGAGAATTGAATCGTTAGATCACAGACGCTTATTAGAGTAACCAAATTTTCAGGATAATCCAATGTACCGTTTTCCGTATACGTCTAAGGTACCATTGACCATGGGCCACCCTGTATGTTGAAATTTCATTCATGCAACATCAACTAAATTATAATGAATTCCAGATTTAATGGAATTTCAAATCAAAAATATATGGGGTTCATGCAATAGCCTTTCATCATTTTGCTTGCATGAATCCACCTTAAGACTAAAAGAATTCTAACATTCAAATCCAACTCAATGGACAAGTGGACTTGAAATGAATTATAAGTATTCAATTACTACACTGTGTCCTAGGGACCTAAATTAATTTTTGCTACACCTCTCACAATTTTTTATGTAAATAGTGAGTGTGTGCATTGTTGGAAATTGTTGTATTTAGGAGCTCATTTCGAACGTACCCTCATGGCCACTATTTGGTGATATGTGGAATAAATGGTGATGTCAGCTTCAATGCTGTTTCGGTATTGATCAGATAATCTTCCATTCCCACTCACGAAGCAAGGTTGTCAAGTCACCAATTACAATCAAGTTATCAAAAAGATGTAAGAGTCTTGTCGTTGAATAAAACATAACAGGAGGAAACCATGATATTATAGTTCATTCTTGACTCCTTCAAGCAACCAGCATGTCCAAATATTTCTAATACCCCATAAGGAAATTGCATGTGAATGTTGGAAACTTGGCAACATTGTAATGAATGCTGAGAAGGGACAAGACTACGCTCACAAGTCGTGCGCGCGGTGTTGTCACGTTTACCACTTCAAATGTCCTCTAGTGTGAATTAATATAATTACTATTTACACAAATGTATTATAAGCATTTAGCCACAAATCATAAGGGAACATTTTGAGACAATTGATTTTGTATTGCTAAATAGGAATGATACCAATACATAATTGAAAATTCATCAATAGTTGAATAACTAATATTTCTGAAGCTCCCAATCGTATTTCAACACATGACAACAGTGCTATGGGTCAGGGGCGGATCTAGACGATGTTTGAGGGGGGGTGGAGGCCATAGAAAGTCACGGCTCAATAAGGTTAGCATGGAAGAGGAAATTACATGGTTACCTTCTGAGACAAATGATTTTTCATTAAAAAAATTGATACTAGTAAATATAAAATCTTTACATTTCTTTTCAAGTATTGAAATTACTGGTGTAAAAGAAACAAGTTCAAACTATTCAATTTAATCCATCAATATAATATGTAGAATTCTGCAATAAATCATATTGGATGAAAAAAGTAAATAAGAAACTATTTCCGAGGGGGTTGCCACAACTGATTTTAACGTACGAATTATTGCCATTTCCCAGTATTTCCTAATATTGCCCAATTTCCTGGCATTTTCTCATATTTCCAATTATTGCCCCGCATTTCCCGGCATTGCCCCGCATTTCCCGTAATTTTCCTGCATTTCCCAGTATTGCCTCGAACTTCCAGAAATTTCATCGTATTGCCTCGCATTTCCCGTATTTCCTAGAATGTTCTCGTATTGCCTTGCACTTCTCAGTATTGCCCCGTATTTCCCGGTAGTGCCTCGTATTTCCAGAAATTTCTCCGTATTGCCTCGTATTTCCCAAATTACCTTGTATTGCCCCGTATTTCCCAGTATCGCCTTGTATTTCCCTGCATTTCCCTGTATTGCCTTAATTTCCTGATATTTTTCATTGGTTACACAATCGTTTTTATATTGTCAGGCATTCTCTAATATTTCACTACAATAATATTGTTTTACGACAGTATAGGTACTATGAAAAAATATACAATCGAAAAAAATATGTATTCTTATAAATATTCAACAAAAAAAAACATAATATGAATCACAGTAGGAAAATATCACCACAGTTTGAGTGGAGAACCCTCGGGAGAACCTATGAATGACTTAAGATACATCAACAAAAAAACTAGAAAAATATCTATTCCTAATGACTATAATCACTGGAATGAATATCAACAAAGAAAACAAAACATGGGTCATTCAATGAAAAATATATCAAACTCCAAACTAAAATTAACTACTTCCCTTTCTTTTTCAAATCTTTATATATTTTTTTAATATTATTTCGATCATATCTTGTGATCTGTAGTGGATCACAGCCAAGCATATTTATTGCTCCATAAAATATTTGTTCTTTGTGGACACAATCTACGTCGTCTGATTTAGGCTAGTAAAAATTATTCAGGTCTTCTTTCAGAAATTTGAGAGTACACATTTCATTTTCTTTGTATTCTAAAACTCTGCCAATATACCATCTTTGTTCATAAAACACACTATAGTACTTTTCAACATCAATTTGAGAAACAAATTCATACGCGCAATAGGGTGTCTAGTAGGGAGTTCTCAGAATTGCGTCAAGCCATCGTCTAGCGCTAGGGTCTCGTCTAGCGTCCACCCGGTTGTGAAAGCCTAATGCATGTCATGAGTAGTGTATAGAGTCGATATTTCATTTATGTCTTTTCTACATGTCGATGCGATTGTATATTAACTCTATAAAAAACTAATTACGTAGATTGTTTTTCAAATTTAATGCCGACTGTCTCAATTTTTCAACCGCTTTGCTAAATATTGCCCGGCATTTCCAGATATTTCCTTGCATTTCCCGTATTTCCTGGCATTGCCTCGTATTTCCCGACATTTCCCGCATTGCCCCACATTGCCAAATATTTCCCCGAATTTCCAGTATTGCCTCGTATTTCCCGTATTTCCCGTATTTCCAGTATTTCCGGTATTCATTTTTATTGCCCCGCATTTCCCAGTATTGCCCCGTATTTCCCTGTATTGCCTCGTATTTCCCAGTATTGCCTCGTATTTCCCGTATTTCCAGTATTTCCGGTATTTATTTTTATTGCCCCGCATTTCCCAGTATTGCCCCGTCCCTGTATTGCCTCGCATTTCCAGACATTTCCTCGTATTGCCTCATATTTCCCACATTTCCTAAAATTTCCTCGCATTGCCCCGTATTTCCTCTCAAGTGTACGAGAATTTCCCCAGTGGCAACCCCCTCGACTATTTCTCTTGAAATACTTGGGTCTACAAAAGTTTTAAAAAATTCCTCTTCAAGAACAAAACAAATGAAACAGACAAATATAAAATATATAAAATAAAGAATCAAATTTCAAAAACTAAATAACAAATTCTAGTCTTCTATTCTGCTGACTAGCGTATCTTTGGATGATATCATCAACATTCAGACATTTAACCTGTCTGGATCTTACCCAATCTTTCAGCCTTCTGAGTGCTGAAAAACTCCTTTCACTTTCAGAAGATGCAACACTTACAGGCAGGCAACATAATAGTTCGAGTCCAGAAGAATGTTTATGTTAGGGAACAAATGTTTGTTACATTCTTTCAGAGCAGTTACACCATTGTCTAGTATATTTTGCTTAGTGTCCCACATTTTTTTTCATATATAAATTTCAGAAACGATCTCCTGAAAGGAGGACATTT